GGTGGAGACACTCCTTCAGGTATACTGGACCGAGGCCGTTTAGGAATAGAGGACCCCTGGGGTGCCTTGCAACTCTATGGCTCTAGTGGACACTGAGCTCTAAGTGCTTAGAAAAACAGGGGCTCCATTGTAGTTTAGTGGTAGAGTAGATCTCCTGCTCAATACACGACAGAAGGTGCAGCAGGTGCAAGGAAGGAATGTTTTATTAAAGCAGGTGAGCAATTCTGACTCAGCAGGAAGAGCCAAACACAGTTCAGGGCTCTCGCAAGGCGAAGGGATAACAGGGGTAAGTCTGGTCCAAGGTTCGCGAGTCTGCGGTCAGTAACAAGGACTTCAAAGCTGCACGGTTTCTCCAACAACCAACCCATGATGAGGGTTTGGAGGGAGGGAGTTGGGTCAGGTAAGACAACAGCTCACGCTGCAAAAGGTTTTTTCCCCCCTCTCTCACCTCCTATTAAGATGCTGCAGAGCAGAAGATTCATTACCGCGGATAATGAATTAGGCCTCATCTGCACTAGCCATTAAAAGCAGTGTCATGTCACTTTAAGCAGTTGTGCCTTATCCCAAAGAATTCTGGGAACTGTAGTTTGTTCAGGGTGCTCTGAGAGAGTTGTTAGGAGGCCCCATTCCTTTCCACAAATCCCTAGGAAGGAGGATTGGTTGTTAAGCCACCCTGGGAACTGTGGTTCTGGCCAGTGTTAGAAACTGAGATATGAAAGCTAGGAGCTAAATGGCACCTCAAACCTAGGTTATGGGCGCAACAATGGAATGTCAAGGCACAGAGGGGGAGCGGGTGGCGCTGTGGGCTAAATCACTGAGCCTCTTGGCTTGCCCATCGGAAGGTCGGCGGTTCGAATCCCCGCAACGGAGTGAGCTCCCGTTGCTCTGTCCCAGCTTCTGCCCACCTAGCAGTCCAAAAGCACACCAGTGCAAGTAGATAAATAGGTACCACTGCGGTGGGAAGGTAAATGGCGTTGATGTGCCCTCTGGCTTCCATCACGGTGTTCTGTTGTGCCAGATGCAGTTTAGTCATGCTGGCCACATGATCCAGAAAGCTGTCTGTAGACAAATGCCGGCTCCCTCAGCTGGAAAAGCGAGATGAGCGCCGCACTTCATAGTTGCCTTTGACTGGACTTAACCGTCCAGGGGTCCTTTACCTAGGCACAATTTTTTAATAGCAAGGATACAAAGCTGAAAATAAATGAACTGCAGCCAAAATATTATGTTCGTTTTTTACCTGGTCCAGTCCTTCCCCTGCCCACCCCCCTAATATTCTTCAGAGGGTCTCTTCTCCAGTCTTCAGAGAGTAGCTGGAAGTGGGGAGGCAGAAAACGGCCCTCCTTTCCTTCTACTCTGCAGCTTTAATCTGAAATCTTAGGCGCAAAGCTCAGAAACTGCTCGCGCTAATGAAATTGCAAAATGCGCCTAGAACAGTGGGAGTTTCAAACACTGGTTCTGGGAGGGGAATAGGGGTGCCCCAACAACTCTCAGCACCCTTAACAAATTACAGCTCCCAGGGCTCTTTGAGGGAAGCCATGACTGTTTCAAAATGATAGGATACTGCTTTAAAGGGATGGTGCAGATAGGGCTTACGTCAGGCATAGGCAAACTCCGGCCCTCCAGATGTTTGGGACTACAATTCCCATCATCCCTAGCTAACAGGACCAGTGGTCAGGGATGATGGGAATTGTAGTCCCAAACATCTGGAGGGCCAGAATTTGCCTATGCCTGGCTTACGTCAAGACAGAGACGAAACACTCACTGGTCTAACATAGCTTCCCCAAACTGGAGCCCTCCATATGTTTTGGGGGCTCCCAGCTACCTTCAAACCCAGGTTATAGCTCAAAAAAACATGAGCTGTACTTCAAAACACCAATTTACAGATGGCTGGTCTAATGACTCCTGGGAGGGTTGGGTTGGTTTCCTCTGCATTTCGAAACTGAGCAGAAACGCGAAAGATGAGAATCACGGAACACACAGCCCAAGAATGTTACCAGGTGGGTAGTCCTTTTGAATCACAATTATAAATAGCAAACCCCTATCCCGGTTCGCAGTTTCTTATCTAGCTTTATTGGCTGTCCCATTTGGGAAGCTGTTCGTTGGCAGATGAAGCAGAGCTCCACCTAAGCCCCATCACATGGTTTCTAAAGTCGTAGGGTTATAGTCATCCCCCCAACACTCCCGCCGCTTCATGTTCCAGCAGCTTTGCAGCATCAGTAATGCCAAGGCTGCGATTCATAATCAGATTACTCAAATGCCAACCACCTGAAGTCAGTCACGCTTCACTTGCTTCCTGTGTGAAATACCAATAAAGCTGAAGTTGTGTTTCCCAAGATATTTATACCGCAGATGGGAGTTGCGCATCTAACTACCGTTTCTCGTTTTCAAGACTCTAGGAAGAGCAGGTATTAAGTGCTCTGTTGAGATGCAGAATGCGTACCCACAACCTCTATGGCAGGGGTAGGCAACCTAAGGCCCGGGGGCCAAATGTCGCCCAATTGCCTTCTAAATCTGGCCCACGGACGGTCTGGGAATCACCGTGTTTTTACATGAGTAGAATGTTATTTAAAATGCACCTCTGGGTTATTTGTGGGGCAAAAAAAATATAGTCCGGCCGACCACATGGTCTGAGGGACGGTAGACCGGCCCATGGCTGAAAAAGGTCGCTGACCCCTGCTCTATGGGAAGATCGAGTATTTAAAAAATGACCCCAACCAGGCTGGCCGCGGATAATAGTGCTTAGAAAATGCAGGACAAATGCTCAGAAATGTTGCACATTTTTACATGTTTAACACAGGAAACTGCCTTTTACCAAAGTCAGACCATTGGTGTGGTGTTGTCAACAGCCAGTGGCTAAGGAGGGTCATTCAAACTATTTTATTGAAGTTCCATGTTTCATACAGTTGTGGGGTTTTTTAGGCCTGCCCCCCCCCCGGGGGGTGGTTGTTCAATGATGCTCTCTCCTAGGTTTGAGACAGGAGAACCTGAAGACGTAACACAAACCTAGAACCTTCCACATGCCTCTACCACTGCTCCACACTCCCTCCCCAAAACCACTTGCAGGGAGTGCTCCTTGCACCTGCATGTTCTTCAACACCCACTGCAACCTCAAGCAGACTTGCTTACAGGCTAAAACTCAGCTGAACACCCATCATATTACACAAGAGACCTGCAACAAAATGTTGCAGCGGAGACTGCTGCTGCTCAGGGTCCCAGCTGTCAACCAGTATTCCACAGCCACATCTTAGGATTTTTCCTAAAGGGTTTTTGGTTTTTCTTTGCTTATGCTTCTGTTAAGTCTGCTCATACCACCTCCTTTTGTGTCATTTTGTGTGCACGGGATGCAATTTTTAGGCACCAAGTCCAACCAAAACAGCTGAGCCCTTTACATTTTTGCCTTGGGGCATATTTCAAAGCCAGAACAACCTGAAGTCAAACTCTTAAGTGTCATACATACAAAACCAGAGCAAGCACTAATTGAAGATGACCTGCTCAAAATAAATATTAGAATCATAGAATTTAAGAATGAGTTGGATGGGACCCTGGGATCAGTTAGCCCAACCCCCTGCAATGCAGGGATCCCAGCTAAATAATCCATGGCAGGTGGCCATCCATTTTGGAATTTTCAAATATCAAAACACTCTAGGATCACTTTTTCGTAAAGGAAGATAAACACTTCCAGCCACTCAGACACAACAAGGCAAATCAACCAAGTCAGAAACCTAGTATCACCGTTTTTTACCTCAAATCACCACTTTCGACAATCATCTCTGAGTAGCTTTTTTAAAACGCCATCTTCCAGTCACCAAAACATACTGCACAAGCGTCTGATAAAAGTATTTAGGAGCCGTCACCCCCCCAAAAAAAAAAATCTTCCAAAGACTGGTCATTGTTCAGAAATAATAGTTTAATTTGGCACTATTTTGATGGCCAGGGAAAGCATATGGTTATACTTTTTGGTCTGTATTTTTTAAATCTTCACCATAACCAGTTTTGCACCCCAAAAGCAGGAGAGGATGTGAATGTAAAAGCCCAAAATGGAATAAATCTATTTATACCACTGATTCGGAAAGTACCGCCAACAGTATGCAAAGCAGAACTGTTAAGTTCATAAACCAGCAGAGTTATAGAATTTGAGGGACATTCACAAGTGTTTCTAACAAGCCTTGACACTCCTCCTCATAAATCTTTTGAAAAGGTCAGGTTTCCCATTGAAATTATGTGCCCTACAATTGCTCGTGCTAAGGATCTCCTTAATATGACAACAAGGGGAATCCCAGCTGAGCTGCCTCACGTCAGGCCTCCGGGTTACATTTTGGGTGGTATTATCTTCTGACATACTCCAAAGACATATCAGCCAAAATCTTTTGTGCTGTGTGCGTTCATTTGGACATTCAACTGAGGCCAGAGTTAAATCCTACATCTTAACTATAAAATTCTGGAGAAATCCAGCATCAAAACATAGAAGCAAGATCCTACATTTCTTAAATAAACTGGTGGGGTGAGGGATAATTTGGATCTGGGGTTTTGTTTTGAGACACAGCATTCAGTTCCCTCTCCCCTCCCAACACTTCCTTGTTAATTTTCTATCTCCTCTCTCCTCCAAGCAGTTCAGAAATGGTGAACATGGCTCTTCCCCATCATGACATCTTATCCTCACAATCAGTGTTCGAAATTAGCCAGGAGCCAGGCGCATTTTACAACCTGGCTTTCAACCACTTGCAACCAAGAGGAGTCTCTACCATCTGGTACATGCCTGGCTGGGGATCCGTGGACTGTTTTTGCACGTTAATACCACAACCTGTAGAATGCTTTTTCTGTGCAGGCTGAGCCGGAGGGGTTGAACGTTATTGTTAATCGTTGTAGCTTGTCTTCTTCACTTGCCCTGCTCACAGTGGTGAAGAATATTCTGACCAGGGTGGATAAAAATCAATGATTTTTTTTTTAAATCGATTTTCAATCAGATTTTTTTTAATTTTTAATTTAAATTCAATTTTTAAAATAAAATGCTTCTGGAGGAAAAATCTTTCTAAAGATAGTTTTCTGCTTAAGTTACATTATAGTGCAAAGGCTATTCATCAGGAAATAAGGATTTGTTTTAAGTCTTTCATGTGTGCTGAAACTCAGTGTAAGGTTTTATTATTATTATTCTTTAACCACATCAGTTAACAAACATGGATACATATCCTGTATCCATGTTATTGTTTTAGTTAAATAAATTGTTTAAATTGTTATTAAGGAAATGGTTATTTTTCTCCTTCCAATAAAGTACAGCAGAAAAGTTGTCCAAATATAAACGGTTAACTTATTAAACCTCACAATAATTTCATAACGACAGTCATACCTCGGAAGTCGAACAGAATCCATTCCAGAAGTCCATTCGACTTCCAAAACGTTTGACTTCCAAAGCGTGGCTTCCGATTGGCTACAGGACATTCAGCTTCCAAAAGAACGCTCGAAAACCGGAACACTCACTTCCAATTTTTGATCTTTCGGAAGCCAGAACATTCAACTCCCAAAGCATTCAGGAGCCGAGGTACGACTGTATCTGTCTATGTTATTCCAAAAATGAAACTTTCATCTGGTTGTAAATATTAAGATTACACCAGCAAGAATGAGTCTTTCTGTAAAAAAAATGATTTAAATCAAGTCTTAATGACTAGTGACTTAAATCGTGATTTAAATTGATTGATTTAAATCAAATCCTCTCCAATTCTGACATTATGAATGGTCTGTGTCCCCACAGATATGAGGACCATCCCTGGAACACGTGACTTTTCCCTTTTAAGTTCTCCAACCTAGCTCAAGGTGGTCATCTGAACTAGCCAGAAGTTTAACTGAGAATCGATCAGAGCCAATCTATCTTTTGAAAAATAAAAATTTAGAGCCGTCTTGCTCCAAAATGGCAAGTAGACCTCCCATTTTGGCGACTGCAACCTTGATTTAAGGAGCCATTTGGTGCCTAGCTTATATACCCTGAGTTTCTAACACTGCTCACAACCACCCTAAAAGACAGGATTAGGCCGAGGGACAGTGACTAGCCTAAGGTGAACTTCATGGCTTAAATCCACTTCTAGTTCAACAATGACCTCTACGCAACATTGGCTGGAGGACTCTATAGCCGGCGCAGAAGGAAGAAATGTTCTCCCTTAGAATGGTCAAATTCCTCCCATTACGTACCTATTTTTATTCTAAAAGACGGCCTTAAGTCACCTGCAACCTGAAGTGGGCCACCTTGGTCTCGTCCTTGCACACCTGGTACACCTTCAGCACAAAACAGTTCACAATAGCTCGGTATGATGCCAACATCCTTCCTCCTCCTGCTGCTGATGTAACTTCAAAACTGTTCCTCCCCCTGCATGCACAGGAAATAGCGTGGAGGCCGCTCCAGACTTAGAATGGTTTTTTGGAAATCAGGAAGTTGGTTTTTGTTGTCGAACACAAGTGGAAGTGACAGGGTCACCAAGCTCATTTGTCATTCGGTGGCTCAAGGCAAGGGAAGGGGGCAGGATCTGAGGTCCTCTTTGTATCTGAGAGAAGAAGGGTTGACCAAAAAGACCTTAAATTAAGCAAGTCAGTCAGGGAAAGTGTACAAGAGACGGAAAAATCGTTTTTATTATCCAATCGGTCCCCATCTTAAAATGAAAAGGTGATACCGGGAGAGAGGGAGGTTTCATGTGCCTCTGGCTTTAATAGCTGAAGGCATCTGCCAAGTTCTGTATGCCTAGTATTTAGGAAATCGTTTCCTTCCTCCGCCACCTTAAATATATTTCTCAAAAACACACACATTTTAAGAACGGGGGAGAGGAGTTAGGAACACTGGAGGAAGCTGCTTTCCCACTAAGTCAGACTATCGGCCAATCTAGCTCAGTATTGTTTACACAGGCTGGCAGCAGCTCTCCAGGGCCTTGTCAGACACCTTTTCCTCTTCACCACACATGCCAAAAATTAACCACAGAGCTACAGCAGTTCTCAAGCCTCACAAGAATACTTCCCCGAGTTTGAGCACAGAAAGGCAATCTGCTTTTGAGGGCAGTGTCACATCCACAAAATGCTTTATTGGTCCAATTCAGTCACGGTCTGGCTATCTGGGACATGCTTGAGTACTGGTATGTCCCCCCTCTCCCCGCAAAAAACAAAAAAACAAAAAAACTTCCTGGTCAATGCTAAACATAATTTGTTGTCATACTTGAACCGGGTAATCTATGGCTACTACAAATAATGGCCTGCATCCAAAACAGAACTTAGCTGAAGGACCCCTTCTACAGATGGCAGGCCTTACAATCTCCTTCTGAAGCTGTTTTTTGGGTGCCACATGGAACAAGGCCCATGTCCCTTTAGGGCGAAAGGATCTTCTCGGTGGTGGCACCCCAACTACAGAATGCTTTCCTGAGAACAGCTCACATAGCCTTTCTATGTTGTAATTTTATGTTGCGAACCACCTTGAGATTTACAGATGAAGGGCTGTATATATTGATGATGATGATGATGATGATGATGATGACGACGATGATGCTCTATTGTGAATTAGATGCTGTATCTTTCAGTTTTCCCAGGCTTCTCCACCTGCTTCAGTCCTAACCTTTTCATCTTTGCTACTTTTCATGCTGCGGTTATGCATTTTTGCCTGTTATTTTCAGCTTGCTTCTAACCTTGTTGTAAGCCACCCAAATGCCCAAGGTAAGTAAATAAAAGCCAAACTATGGCTTTCCCACTGCTGCCTGAGAAGCAAATTATGCAGTAGACTTCGGCAGCTTGATTTGAGAAGCCTGACGGGTCTCAGTCACAGCAAACTCAATCATATCAGCGCCTGCATTCACAGGGCACAAGCGCATCACAAAGCGTTTTGGAAAGCAACAAAAGAAGACAGACAGGACCGTGCCCCCAAGGGGTTTAACAGCTATATTTTGACAGCAGTGGAGAACACAAATGAGGTAGAGGGAAGAAATGTGACAGGCGCACATCATAATACTTGGCATTTATATATATCTATAAAAAACACACTCTGACAACTCTAAAAGCTTTTCAGGAGCCACACCCGCACAATGCATTTAAAGCACTGTTATAACCACTGTAACGCTCATGGAGAACCCCGGTAGCTGAGGTTTGTTAAGGGTGCTGGGAACTGTAGCTTGGTGGGTCGGCACCTTTCAACAAACTACAATTCCCAAGTCTCTAACAGTGGAATAATGGTGTTTTAAATGCATTGTGTGGATGTGACCGCAGGTGGTGTCAGCTATCACGGCAAACAGCCCTAAACAAGGTTAGTTTTATCCTTACCATACTGCCGGTGGGTGGGTGGGTGGGTGGGGAAACAGAGAAGAGAGAGCATGTGGCTTTAAATCATGTGATCAGCCCCGTGCTGGACAGGGATGGTGGGAATTGCAGCCCTAATCCCAAACAGCTGGAGGGCACCAGGTCGGCAAACACTGTAACAGAGCCAAGAAAGAACCTTACGGCTCATTTTCTGCCAGGTTGCGGCGTCACCACACCAATCGCCCCCACCCCAAATGACATCTACAGCTATCAAACCCTATGTCCTGGGAAACATATTTCAGATCTGAAAGTAAAGGTCCATATTTCAGATCTGAAAGTAAAGGCCCCTAACCATTAGGTCCAGTTGTGACCGACTCTGGGGTTGCGGCGCTCATCTCGCTTTATTCGCCAAGGGAGCCGGTGTACAGCTTCCGGGTCATGTGGCCAGCATGACTAAGCCGCTTCTGGCGAACCAGAGCAGAGCACGGAAACGCCGTTTACCTTCCAGCTGGAGCGGTACCTATTTATCTACTTGCACTTTGACGTGCTTTCAAACTGCTAGGTTGGCAGGAGCAGGGACTGCGCAACGGGAGCTCACCCCGTCATGGGGATTTGAACCGCTGACCTTCTGATCGGCAAGTCCTAGGCTCTGTGGTTTAACCCACAGCGCCACCCGCGTCCCTTTCATAAAGTATACAGCCACAAGTAAGCAAACAAACAGGAAGACTTGGGAGGCGCAGAGTCTTTTGATTCAAGTTCAACGGAAGCATAGGAAACTTGCCCACCTAGGATTTGGGGGCACCTCACAGCAAGACTGCCATATGCCAGGTACAGATCAGCTTTGTGCATGCAGCCACTCGAGTGCAGGGCAGGTGCAGAGTGGCACAATAAAGCCCAATCTGTGCCAAAGCCTGCATGTGACCTCAACATGCATGCGCACCTCTCTACGGGGCTAACATGCCCGGATGTCAACAGACTCTGAAAACCACAGCTGCTACAGGATGAGGCAGTCATGCGACTCGGGGCTCACTCTGTGTCAGCTAAGGAAGAGAGAGGAAGTGCTCTGTCTTCTTCCAGCGCAGAGTCATTTCTGGATTAAGAAATACACTGCACTCCACATGGGTTGCCACAAAGCCTGAGCGTTATCCACGCTTTTTCTGCTTACCGCCTTGGCGTTAAAAACACTGCTTTTGTTATTCGAGGAATGTTAAAAAGCCTATTAGCCAGACATTTTCACAACACAGATAGGCAGGCATTGTGCAACTGCTGATTCCGAAGAAATATTTCACATCATGAGCTCAAAGGGTGATGTAAAGGCGGCTTTCAGTTTAAGGACTTTCAGTGCACTTTGGGCTACAGAAACCCCCAAATTTCAGTTTCTTCTCTTGCTGCGGCGTTGCCTTGAATCTGACACAGCCACGAGGGCTCAAACAGCTTTATATATAGAAGCTAGCATTTTGCAAGTATGGGGTGTGCTCCTGGCTAACACTGGGAACGGTTGTCGTTATTAATGTATTTTTAGATGCATTTTTGCAGCGTGTCTTTCCGAAACTGACACCAGCATATGGCTGGCAGACAATTTGCATAAGAATAGTTCACTGCACTGCCTTTATAGCATGCAGCGTCCGGGCAGAAAATGATATTATTTATAGACTTCAGCTCTCTCTTGCACACGCTGAACGTTTGCAAAGCTTTAAAATGATAAATTTTGTAAAAATGCAAACCAGCTGGAGGAAACAGTAGCAGAGTATTGTGGTGGAGATGAATAGGCTGTCACACGAGTCCTTGATTCATCCACTCGGAAGCAGCCGTTTCAGTGGGACTTGCAGGTTTATATATTTATTATTAATTTGCAAAGATCACAGTAGAGGGCGGTCAGCCCAATTACCTTTACGCAAAAGCACCTTGAATTGAAATAAATGGGACATCTCCTCAGGGTTCCAAAAATATCTCTATATTTATTAGTAAGGAAAAAAGTGGGTGTACTTTTCTCCCTCTGACAAAAAGGGTTCACTCCACCACTTTTGCATTAAGGCTAATCTACTTTATAATGCATGGGTAGGCAAACTAAGGCCCAGGGGTTGGATCCGGCCCAATCGCCTTCTAAATCTGGCCCGCAGACGGTCCAGGTATCAGCGTGTTTTTACTTGAGTAGAATGTGTCCTTTTATTTAAAATGCATTTCTGGGTTATTTGTGGGGCAAAGGAATCCATTCATTCCCCCCCCCCAAAAAAAATATAGTCCGGCCCCCCACAAGATCTGGACGGTCGGAACGCATTTCAGGAACCAAAAAGTTGTACTGAAAAATACGACTTTCAAGCCACCTGGCCCCAAAATTGCAACTAAGCATTCTGTTTTCGTGACTGTAACCCTAGATAAAAGAGCTATTATTATTATTAATTTATTCAACTTATACACTGCCCTATACCCGGAGGTCTCAGGGCGGTTCACAACAAGACCACAACATATAAAATCAAGCCTAAAGCAGTAACCCAGTAACGCCCCCCCCCAAAAAAAACCACATTCTAAAAGGGTATTGGATGTCATTAAGATCAACCAAAGGCTTGGTTAAAAAGGAATAATGAAGTGTATAATGAAGGTGCCCAGTGAACTTCCCTGCGAAGATTCCTTTCAGTAGCACCTTAAAGTAAAGGTAAAGGGACCCCTGACCATTTACCTTCCCGCGATACCTATTTATCTACTTGCACTTTGATGTGCTTTCGAACTGCTAGGTTGGCAGGAGCAGGGACCGAGCAACGGGAGCTCACCCCGCCGCGGGGATTCAAACCGCCGACCTTCTGATCGGCAAGTCCTAGGCCCTATGGTTTAACCCACAGAGCCACCCGCGTCCCAGTAGCACCTTAGAGACCAACTAAATTTGTTATTGGTATGAGCTTTCATGTGTACACACACTTCTTCAGTGTATCTAAAGAAGTGTGTGTGCACACGAAAGCTCATACCAATAACAAACTTAGTTCGTCTCTGAGGTGCTACTGGAAGGAATTTCTTTATTCCTTGGGAGAGGGCATTCTACAGATGGGGAGCCACTGCAGAGAAGGCCCTGTTCTCGTGCTGCCACCCTCCCAACCTCTCAAGGAGGAGGTACACGAAGGAGGGCCTCAGAAGATGATCTCAGGGACCGGGTAGGTTCATATGGAAAGAGACTGTCCTTAAAGTATTGAAGTATTGCGCCTAGCTTATATATCTGAGTTTCTAACAACGCACTTTTCTAATACAGTTGTGTGCGACTGGACTCTTGAAATGCTCCACCCCATTTGGAAGCACAATGGGGGGGGGGTTGGGATTTCACCCGACTTCTCCAGTGGAGAGAAGAAATCCTCTCAACAGTTTCCCCATCAGAACTCACCACTGGCAATATGAGTAGCCCAGCTTACTTTTTTACCCTTAAATATGTTGCCGGCGGGTGGTCATTTTTTTGCAGCCACAGCAGCAACTACGTTGGCAGCCAGGCAATTATTTCACATCCTGGCTCTGGTGTCATTTGAGGGGCAGGCAATGGTAGTAGAAAAGGTGGGAAATATTCAGAAAAAATTATTTGAAAGCGGCCTTCTGGAGGAGGGGCAAGAAGAAAAACCTCAGAAATTCTCAGCAGGAATTTCTGAAGGTTTGTGAGTACATCTTTTACCAGATTAAGTAAGCACACCTTTAGGAAATAGGAGTGGCACAGATGCAAACCACACATATTGGGGGGATGATGACAACTACGACATCATTTGTATTTTCTATCTGCACCCCCAGGTTTCTGACCACATATACAGGCCCAGCTCTTTTTGCCAAATCACTTATATTTATTTACACACACACACACACACACACACACACACATATTTCATTAAAAAAATCGAAGTGGTGTGCAACAAAACACACACAATAAAAACCACATAAAAACCAAGATCACAGATCACCCACAAAAAGGGGGGGTTACCCTTTAAACCCCCATCATCCATACTGAGCAGATCTGAGGGGAGCTGGGAGTCCAAACTGTCTGGAGCAGACTTTGTCGACCTTGGGTCCCCGTACCACCAAGGTTGTTGGACTACATCTCCCATCATTCCTAGCCGGCGTGGCCAGGGATGCTGGGAGTTGTAGTCCAACAACATAGGTTGAGAAAGACTGACCTAGAGAGCACAACATTGTCCCTCTACACTGGGGTTTAGCCGGTGTTAATGCTGAAGAAACCTGGGAAGAAGCACAGAGCATTTGGGGGATTCTCCTGTCCGTAAGTAGAAGGTGAATATTAAGCACGGGGAGCAAAACGGCATAATAAATGCAGACAAGGGATTCCTAGAAAGCTGGCATGTCTGCCACTCAGCAACAGCCAGCAGTGGAGCATCAGAAAAGTTAGTACGGGCAGGAATTAAAGACAACTGCTCACTGTTCGGGCCAATTAGTTCAACACAATTGGTTAACATAATATGTTTTTTGTCTTTCACAGAGATTTCCTCTGTTACACAAAGTGTCATTCTTTATTACAAGCCAGTGGAATAATTGCGTAACATTGTGCCAAATTAACATTTTGGCATGCTTTTTTAGTCAGAAAGAATTTTTATCATAACGGTACTCAGATATCATTTTAGGCATTTGAAATTTGAGTGATTTTTTTTGGGGGGGGGGGTTGCATTATATTAAGAACAACCAACATCTGAGGTTAGTGTTAACATATGACTGGTCAGAAAAATACATGTTATCAATACATCAGACAGACAACAGTCGTGTATTTAAAGTATTGTTAGAAAGACATGAAAGAGATGTGCTAGGGCTGCAATCCTTTAAAGACTTACTTGGGAGTAAGCTGTGCACTGAATTCAATGGGACTTCTTTCTGAGTAGAAGTGGACAGAATTGCACTGTTAACACTCATTACAAAAACATCCACACACAGACACGAGTTATCTGCCCCGAAACAAGCTGCACTTTAAACAGTGGATGGTTTTAAAAATGATTTATTTTGATACCAATGTTAGGGCTGTGCCAGATCTTCGAATGTTTTCTTTTTTGACCATTTGAAGGCAGCGGGACGCAGAGCAAAGTCAAAGGATGTGGAATGTGAAACGAAATTATCTTTCAAATAAAGCAAATTGGTGGCATCAAGCAATACTGATATTCCTACTGAATCCTGCAGTAGTTAATAAAATCATACACAAGCCCCCACTTTGCAGGAACAGTGCAAGGGCAAGATTTAGAGGGGAGGGCAAGTTATGGCTGGGCTCTAGGTTAGGCTTTCAGGGAAAATATTCTCTTTTTTGGGGAACAAAGTGTTGAGCGTGCATGTTTCCGTCGGGTTCCCATACTCCATCATTAAACTAGCAGAAGGGAAGTTTGCCAGTGAGGAATCAATCCTGAAATAATTATGCAAGGTGTGTTTAATTGCTGCAAAATATGCTGATCCCACTGAAAGGAAACCCACGAGACTTGAAAGCCTGTCATGCCGATCTCACTGGAGAGCCAAGTAATTTCAGCTCTGTAGGGAAGAAGACAACAGCTGATCTTCCACAATTTCTTTTTAATTAGTTCAACACACTTCAAGGAAGTAAGGCTTTTAGCTCTTCTTCTTCTTCTTCACATGGAAGGAAAGAGTCTGTCTGAAATACATCTCTGGCTGCTGGAAAGTTTCAAACATGAAGGCAAGTCAACTAAATCCAGCCTGGTAGTTAAGATCACTGAAATGTTTTCCCAAAGAAACTTTTCCAAGAGTGCATTTCAGACAAAAATATAAATTAACAGCAAAAGAAACTACCACCTTTGCTTTAAATACACACACACATCACTATGTTTGTTTTTCTTTCCTGATGTAGTAGCATCCAAACAAACAGGCTCCATACCTTGCCATTACAGTGGTACCTCAGGTTACATACGCTTCAGGTTACATACGCTTCAGGTTACAGACTACGCTAACCCAGAAATAGTGCTTCAGGTTTAGAACTTTGCTTCAGGATGAGAACAGAAATCGTGCTCCGGCGGCACGGCAGCAGCAGGTGGCTCCATTAGCTAAAGTGGTGCTTCAGGTTAAGAACAGTTTCAGGTTAAGTACAGACCTCCGTAATGAATTAAGTACTTAACCCGAGGTACCACTGTAATTCAGCCCCATTGCCAATGCCCTGGCTATCTACATGGCACAGAAGCCAGCTCCCTGTGGTCCAATCTCACCACATTTGCACCGTGCGCCACATAAGCAGAGTTTTCTGCACCAGGCCAGTGGTCCATCTGTTCCAGCATCCTCTTCTCACAGCGGCCAACCAGATGCCATTTGGAAATCTCCAAGCAGTACCTGAAGGCAACAGTACTTCCCCACCACCACCACCACCACCACCTTGTGTGATTCCCAGCAAATTATATTCATAGCCTTACTGTCTCCAACCGTGGAGGAGGAATAGGGGCATCATGCAAATTTCAGAGTCTCCTTGTGTTGTGGTTTCTTTTCCACACATGCCTTTTCTTCACATCCATCATCGATTCTGCTGCTGGTGTTAACAATCAGCACAGAAGGCTCCAATTACTTAATCCTGGAGCCTGTCTCCTATGGCATCGTTCTAGGCGCTGCAATTTGGGTTTGCAACAGGATGCTGAACTAAATCGGCCGCTGAACTAAATGAGCAGCTCTTTTTATGTTCTTAAAAAAGTTTGCTGTTGGGTTTAAAGCCACACAAGTTGGGAGACCATCACTGCTTACTGGGGCAGTGAGTTCCACAGTTTAACCACGTGCCTCGTGAAGAACTACCGTATTTTTCACTCTATAGGATGCACCCGACCATAGGACACACCTAGTTTTAGAGGGGGAGAACAAAAAAAAAATCTCTCCCTCTCTGCGCAGCGCCCCTTCAGCAAAGCGGCAGGAGAAACGGAGCCCCTTCCATTTCTCTTCCCGCTTCACTGAAGGGGCGCTGCGCAGAGAGGGAAAGCTGTGCAGCGTCTCTCCAGCGAAGCGAAGCCTCCGGAGCACGGTGGGAGCACCCGCTGCGCTCCAGAGTCTTCGCGTTGCTTTCGCTGAAGCCTGGAGAGTGAGAGGAGTCAGTGCGCACCGACCCCTCTCGTTCTCCAGGCTTCAGGGATAGCCGCCTGAAGCCTCCGGAGCACGGCAGGAGCTCCCGCTGCGCTTCGGAGGCTTCACGTTGCTTTCGCTGAAGCCATGGAGCCTGCATTCGCTCCATAAGACTCACACACATTTCCCCTTAATTTTTGGAGGGGAAAAAGTGTGTCTTATAGAGTGAAAAATACGGTACTTTCTTTTCCGTTCCCTAAATCCTCCAATATTCAGGTTCACAGGATGTACACGAGTTCTAATGTTATGAGGCAGGACTGAGGGGGGCACTGGCGTTTATCCACTTTTCCCATGTCTTGCATTATTTTATAAACTTTGGTCACGTTGCCTCGTACTAGCCTTTTCTCTAAACTGAAAAGTCCCAACACAAGGCAAATCTTGAGATGGGTTATGCAGTCCCTGTTAGTGCCTTCCAGGCAGACAGCAGTGCTAGCCTGCTTCTGCAAAAACAGAGTCTTGTACCACCTTAATAGACTAATCAACTTTATTGCAGCACAAGCTTTTGGGGGACTCTGATCCATGAAAGCTTGTGCCACGATAAATGTGCTAATTTTTAAGGTGTTACAAGACTCTGTTGTTATTGCTACATAAAGTGTCCACAAAGCAGACCTGTGGGAAATTAAATTCATGAGTCTGTCTCCTGGTTAACACAGCATTTTATTTTTTTTAAAAAACGAACACTCAGCTCACTGCCACCATTGATAACGGTTTCTTTCAGGACCGCATTCCCCCTATCACATTAGGAGGTAAAAGAAATATATGTTTTTTCCTCGGGTTAAAAACTTCACCGAATACTGTTAAAACCCTCAAATGCGCAAGATTACTACTTTGGCGTATATTCTCCAGTTGTTATATTAATTGCTGACTCTAGTCCTGGCCTTAACACCTTAAACCGTTAGCTAAATTTCTGCGCAAGTTATTTGTCCTTGTCAGTACTGAAACACTCAGAAGCTCTTCCAAACAACCTGCAGAACAGTAAAGATGATAAAAGGGAAGGACAATTAAGAGTCATGATACCTGCTTTGGCCAAGTCAACTTGTTGATGTCTACTGGGGAACCAGATATACTGAGGTAACTTGCCCCAGTACTGTTCAAACCACCAGTAATATTTGTAGTGTTGTAAATAGAGACAGCTGGTCCTTAAAACTGGAAGAATAGTGTATGCAAATTGGATGTAAACAGTGAGGAGGGAGAGGAATGATGGATAGCCTGGGAGAGTGAAGGAAGAAAAGAGACTCTTCTAGCACTAGGCAGAATACTTGAGCAACAGCTTATGCATAAAACCCTCCCAGACTACTTTGTGTTTCCCATTCTAAATACAGCAACAGAAGCAGCCTAGAAGCTCACTCCAAATACACATTCAAGCTCCAAGAAGCACTGTAAGAATGAACTATGCTGCATTATTTGAGAGGATATGGTTTGTGGTGCAAAATCTTGCTTTTCTGCCTTTCAAGCAGCTCAGAAGCAAACAGAAGTAAGCGTCCCTCTTGCAAAAAGCAATAAATTTTCTCAAAACAAGAGCCAGTCAAAAATCCCGGACAGCAGCAGATTTTTTGCTTGGGCCTTTTAACGGATATGGAGAAGGACAACTCCCTCTGCTGAAGCCGCTTTTACAAATGGGCATCTCCCATAACCGAGACTTTTGGATGCCCCACTGGTATCTGCTTAAAAGGAAATGCAAGGAAGCTCAAGAGGTGAGAAGATTCTTGGCCGTGACACCCACCCCTGAGGCTGGCCTGCAGCCCAAACTGGACGCCTGGAAGTTTCACTGGGCAGTTGGCAAACAGAGAGTAAGGAGCAATGAATCAAGACACAAAAAGGCACATACATTCCCTCCACCCTTTTTGCTGCTCTGCCCCATGTGAAAAGATGGAGGGTGGGACATTTCTGCTCCTTGGTGCAAGAGGATGGGGAAGAGGAGAAAGGAGCTTGCAAAACCAATGGCTGCAGGAGCAGAGAATAAGTCGCTTCGAGTTCCTCCTCCAGCCCAAGATGCTGGAGCAGCAACACAGAGGGGCGTTGAGAGAAGCCAGCCAAAGCCAGGCTGTAAACAAAGAGTGTGAGAATATGGGATCCAGGAAGAAAACAGATCACAGTGCATTGCTCTAATCAAAACAGACTGAGGAGGCATCTACTAACACCAGCTTAGCTGACTAAAGATGCGCTCTCATGCCTGTGGAGTCCCAGAGCTTTTCAGCCATGAAATCGGCTGGCTTACTGCTTTTGTGTCCCTCTCATGTGGCTCTTTCCTAGCCTTGAAGTCCAAATTGCACCCATATCTGCAATCATGGACAAAACGCGGTCTAAAAATGAGCACCAGAAGATATTCAAGAGCTCCCAATTCATCAGGATGCCTTTATAGCACATCCAGCTTGGTTCAATCTGCTTAATGGTTTCCTATTTCTGAGGCTGAAGAAATCAAGAAATTATTATATCGAGTTTGGCTGTTCGCTAAATAGGCATCATATAGCAGCCTCTGAAAGCGACAAAAGTTCTTGGGCGAACTTATCCCACGACTGCAAAGACAGCAGAACCTTTATGGTTGCTGTTATTGTGGTGTAGTAACAATTACAGCATAATAGAGAGACTCCATCAGGCAAGGCCTCCTTCCACCTGGCTTGCCCCACCCTCTAGTCTCTGCTTCTCAATTTGTATTGTATTATTTTATGTACTGTGGCTTGCCGTTGTTTTATTGACAATAGTTTAGAAATTATTTATTGTAACCGTTGAGTGGATTTCTGTTTAACTTTTATATGTTATTGTTATTTTATACTATTCTAATGATTGTTGAATGTTACTTTTTGATGTAGGTTGCCTATTTTAAAGTTATGTTTTATCATCACATTTTTGTATTGCATTAGATTGCTATAAGATGTACATTTTTTGTTTCTTCAGCTTGTAAACCGCCTTGATAGAAAGACGGTATACAAATTAAAAATGATGAAATGATATTTCAAAAACAGAAATCAGAGGCAGGAATAAGCTGCTTTCACAATGACGAAAGTTCCTATGCCAGTGATGAGACCAATTTAACTTATTCATAAATGAAGGGGGAGTTACAGACCAATTTACTGAGGTTTGTTTCATACAGGGTGAACAGGCCACATGCAGCAAATCACATTTGAAGGGTACAGTGATGCATGCTGGGCCAAAACCTCCTAATTTCATATATGCACACTCATAGAATCACAGAATTCGAGGGCTGGAAGGGACTCCGAGGGTCATGTAGTCCAACCCCCTGCAATGCAGGAATCTCTACACGGATGGGGTCTGATTAGGCTGCCTCCCGTTTTCAGTGTTCTTCTCTCTGCCCTCCTCCACCACTGAAAAAATACTGTGGGTGTCCATGCTGCCACAAAATTTACATCCAAAGAATATTTTGAGACTGCGGTGGATTGACAGCTCAAAGAAAAGTCAACCCAGTAGCAAGACAACATTTTTTTAATAATAATAATAATAAAGCCAACATAATTTCAGTGTTAGGAATCATTACAAAAGCGACTGACAATTTAAAAAATCGCCAGAATTGTGATTCTGTCATATTGGTGATATTGCATTTGTAATACTCCATCTCAAAGTACATATTTGGGGAGGGAGCAATCAAACAGAGAGTTAGAGCATCTTTCCTGCAAATGGAGAATAAAATGTTTGGGTTGTTTTAGTCGGGGGGGGGGGCAACTGAAGGAGAAGCATGATAAAAGGTATACAGAACTGTTGTGGTTGTTTAGTCATTTAGTCGTGTCCGACTCTTCGTGACCCCATGGACCAGAGCACGCCAGGCACTCCTGTCTTCAAATTCTATTCATAAAGAATTATGAATGACAAGAGGGTGGATGGATATTTTTCTCCCTCTCTTACTGCAATACTTGTAAGCAGCTTAGACGAACGGGAAAGATTTCACATAAGGACAAACTTTGGGAAATCAGTATCACAAAATGGTGAGAATGATTGCCTTAGATGGCCTTCAAAACAGGATGAGCCAGATTAACTGAGGTTAGGTCCAGCCATGGCTATGAGATCCAATAGCCAATGGGAAAAGGGCAGAACCAATGGTCTGACCAGGAGGTAGCTTTCATCAACCTAGTGCTGTCCAGGACCTCCAAGTCCCATCAGCCTCAGCCAGCAGGTTGGTGAAGGACGTTATAAGGCATCTTCTCCAGTCGCCTTCATAGAATCCTAAAATTGTAGTATTGGAAAGAACCCCAGGGCGGGCTCAAACCAGCAACCTTCTGGTTAACAGCCATAGGCACTGACCGATTGCGGCACAAGTGGGCATCTGTTTATGTGGTTCCTGGAAGGAGCTGGCTGGACACTGCTGGCAACCGGATACTGGATTAAATGCCTGTCCTGATACAACCGAGCTCTTAAATTATAACCTGGCGACACACACACACACAAACACCCAGGCGGGCTGTTATGCATACAGGTCCTATTTACCAGCCACTTTGCAGAGCGTCAATACAATATTGACTTGTGTGCATTACATAATTCTATTAATATTTGCCCAGAGTATAAGAGCAGGCTCAGATCACGTTGCAGTCCAAAAGGGGGAAATAAATCAAAGGATGGAAGAAGAACCTGAAAACATGGTTTGACGCAATTGAAAACAGAAAAAGAATCAAGCTGAACGAATTAGAAGTGTTGTGAAATACAGTTTTCGGGGAGTGGGGCGGAGGTGGATAAACGAAATGTTGCTCCTTTAACAGCGTGGTTCCCTTCTTCGTGACTCGGTGCCGGACAGACCCACGCCTGCCCCACTGCGCTGCTAGAATTTCATGTGACCTGTTCCTTCCGCACCTCGCTAATTCCATTCAAAGGGAAACAGTGGGGCGCTCAGCACAGCAGGAAGGGAACCAGAGGCTGCATTCGTTACCGCAATTAGCGAGGAGGCGAGAAGCAAGTTTTCTGCAGTGATGACACCCTAGCAGAGCTCCACAGCGAGGTCTACGTTCTCCTCAAAACTCCTGCCGGGCTGGTTCTCTCAAACAAGTCAACTATGGCCCCTCTGTGCCACATTCCGCAAACGGCTATGGCGGACCACCTTTTTATACCAGATATTCGGGGCTCTTCCAACAGTGGTTTTGCAGCATGGACACCCCTCCAGGTCAGTTGCCACCTCTGCCACACACCACTCTAGTAGGCACAGGCAGAAGGTATTTGCCAATGGGACCCTCCTACTTTTGCCACAGAGTGCCAGACCTACCCCTCCAGACTCCACATCTCAGTAGAAAGAAAGCCAATTCCAAATGGCAGAGTTGGGAGTATCATGTGTGCGTGCGTGCGTGTGTGTGTGTGTGTGTGTGTTAGGGGTGCCCTTGCTCATCTCACACCTCAAGCCACTGCGCGTTTGTGTCTCTCTCTCCCTCAAGGACCAACTTGAAGCAAGGGGAGAGGAACACAATTCCAGTTCCCTCTCTCCCGAGGAAATGAACTCCATTAGAATCTCGTTCCCACCAGGCATGATGGGATATGTAGTCGTGCAAGCTCTCCTCAATGGGACTGGGGTGCTCGGCTGAGGAGCATCTTGTCTTTGTTGCATGCCATTTCACAGGTAAGTTTGGAGGACTTTTGGGAGGGGGGTACAGCAGTGGCGAATGTGGTAGTGGGCGATTTAAAGAGCCCTCAAATGTTTTTTGCATTCAATAAATTGAATACTGTAGCAGTTTGTAAGAAAAGCAGATCAGATTATGTGCTGCCAAAAACTCCCTTATTAGATACGGAGTTAAGCAGCATAGCAGTACTTTTTTCCACCCTGCAAAGAACCTCTAATTTCAGTCATCTTAGCTTCCTTTTCTCTTTTTCTCAATTTATAAAAGCTGAAGGAATGCTCACGAAGGGTTACTTCTCCTCCCCACCCCCGCTTTCTGAAGGGTAATGACCTTTCTCTTTAAAATCACATGGTAAAAAAACAACAACAGAAGCTCACAAATAAGCTTTAAGGAAGGAAGGACGGATGAATGAAAGAACAGAACAGTCAGCTCAGATAGGCACTGTAAAAACAATAGATTTTGGTCAGCGTCAGAAAAATTGTGCAATAGCACGGTAACTGGAGAAAAACGAAACTCTTACGCAGGAACTTTTACCAGAGCTGAAGTTGCTTCCAGATGACTTGCTTATTGACCAGTCATCCCAATTTGTTTGCACAAACTTTGTGAGAAGTTTATATTGTGTTGCCTATTTGCTGAGCATACATTCAGCACAATTTGTTGACAACATTACAAAGCAGTCTCAAGCAATTGTTATCCCATGCTTTCCGGTGCGGTTTCTCATTACTTTCCTTACTTCAAAAAGTATCGTGTTTTCCTCTTTTAAAAAAAAAAAAAAAGCAGATTTGTTGCACAACCTGAGTTTGCCGAGATGTGACTGAAACCTATCAGCAAAATAGGATGAGGCCCTTCTGCCACAGACAGAAAATAAGCCTACACCCTATGTAACCTCACGGCGGACTGTGCGTAATTAAGAGAGGTTGTCATTTACGAAGACTATCAGAGGTGACGAGGGAATAATTCATTCCCCTAGAACACCTAGAATCTATAGTTATAAAGAACACCTAAAGCTTTCTTTCAGCATTATCTTGAATATACCCAAGAGCAGGCCTTGCAAATCTTGACACCCGTCTTCTGCACACACAAACTCAAGTTTCTCTCTCGGCTCTCCCACCCAGGGTTGCCTATGATGACACTGTCAGGGGCCAATGCACACTTTCCTGCATGCTGTAAAAAGCCTCACCTGCTAACCACAGCAGCGATAGCTACCTGTGGCTATCCAGATGCTGTTTGCGACCACCACCAGCCCTCAGCCAGCATGGCCAATAGTCAAGGGCGGTGGGAGTTTTAGGCCAACATCTGGAGGGCTGAAATTAGCCACCCCTGTTCTTATAGACCAAGCAAAGTCACCCCCTGACCCCTGACCATTAGTTCCAATCGTGGCTGACTCTGGGGTTGCGGTGCTCATCTCGCTTTATTGGCCAAGGGAGCTGGCATACAGCTTCCAGGTCATGTGACCAGCATGACTAAGCCGCTTCTGGCGAACCAGAGCAGCGCATGGAAATGCCGCTTACCTTCCCGCTGGAGCGGTTCCTATTTATCTACTTGCACTTTGACGTGCTTTCGAACTGCTAGGTTGGCAGGAGCAGGGACCGAGCAACGGGAGCTCACCCCGTCGCGGGGATTCAAACCGTGGTCGGCAAGTCCTAGGCTCTGTGGTTTAACCCACAGCGCTACCCGCGTCAACAAAGTCACAGGAACAGGCAAATCCGATTTCCTGGTTAGTTGTCACCCAATTGCATCCAGAACCAGATCCTGTGTTAAGTAACTGTTGTCAATAACCCAGATTTCAGAGCTTTGAATGCCAGTTAACATTATACAGACTATTTTCCAAAGAAGCCCAGAAGCTAAGCTGAAAAGCCAATTCACAGTTTAGAAGCAGCTGCAATGGTGCACTGATTTTCAACAACCTCTCTCTCATTTGCACCTCTTAAGGTTATTATTCCGAACCACGTTAACTGCTGCTTAAACTATCAGACTCATCCCCTTTGGTTCTGTTACCCATGTGGCTCCCTCGGGCTCTCTTTTTTTTCCCTAGCAGGGTTGCATAACTTATACAAACAGATCCATTTCCTGTCTGCTGCGCCAAGCAATTTAGCAGACCTTGATGATCCTGCTGAGATCACTTTGGGAGGGGAAAACATGAAACCAAAAAAAGAGGAAAGAAACTTGGCTGTCAGGAGGCCGTGCACTTCAAAGTGCATTTTAAACAAAAATAGGAAATCAGGTTTACCAGACCTTATTTTTCTTTTCTGGAAATGTAGCCTTGAAAGGAGAAAAGTGCATTGCCTTATCAAGAAGACCTGGGCCATTTGCTGTGTCTCTTAGCTCACGGAATCGGTTTGAAGTGAGTCACAAGAAGCATTCTCAGGTTTACTTAACAAGCACAAACAAGGTACTGGAGCTGAAGTCATGAACTGCTGGTTATCACAGTTAGCATTAATAAACAGGTCAAGTCAGCAAAAAGCGAAGCCTACTAAAAAAGTTTGTGGCATAGCACATAAGATACCAACTTCATGCTCAACTATATCCAAGCAAGCCAGTAAGTTAGGCCAACAGCTTTGTGTGTCGAGGTCCCCAAGCCACCCCCAAATGAATTCACACTTCACACGGGAATTTTGGTTTAAGGTTTTTGGCATAATTTTGGCCACAACTTTATTAAAATACAAAATGTGAGTGGTTGCTTAGGCATTGGTTAGCGACTATCTGTCCCAGCCCAGGGACAGAACTGACACCCGCAAACCTGCGAAGTCAGTAAGGAAAAACATTTTATGGGGAGTAGATGGAGCTGGGTGCCAGACCCTCACCTCTCCCCAAATACTCCCAGGGGCTCTTGTGTGGCCCTAGACCCCTTGACAGGGGTGCAGACAAAAGCATGGTGAACCCCTGGATTCCTTTAACGGAATTCCCTTGCAGCAGCAGCATTGGAGGGGCAGGCACAGCCAATCCTTACCCCTTCACCAACCAATTTCCTAAAACCAATGCCTAACCGCAACCGTTAGAGGATGAGGTGGTTGGACAGTGTTCTCGAAGCATGAACATGAGTCTGACCAAACTGCGGGAGGCAGTGGAAGACAGGAGTGCCTGGCGTGCTCTAGTCCATGGGGTCACGAAGAGTCAGACACGACTAAATGACTAAAGAACAACAACAACCGCAACCGTACAAGTTGTAACGATTTGCTACGCAGTAGGCAAAAAACCAAATAGCATCAGCCAAATGGACAAAATTCCCACCAGGCCCTTGCCCCAAAAGCAGACGACCCCATGAGAGGCATAGCAAGATCAAACGCAAAAGCCCTAAAATTAGGGAGAGTGGGTGGGTGATCCAATGCGTGCAGCGACAATAGGAAGCTCAACGCTGCGTGCAGAGAATATATAACCTAAGGCTGTCAATCAATAATTGGCAACATCAAACTCTCCCCAACAACAAGAGGAGCCCAACCACAATGGTGGACATCCAAACTAACCAGCCCAGCAACAGCAAGGTATCTTGTTAACCCCACGGCAACCAATGCTCTCCATGAAGGAGAACACGCTTTGCCATTCTATTCTATTCCCCGAGTTTTAGAATGCCTTCTTTTTATTGCAAAAGAAATAAGAGCCCATTTATTGTTGCCCATTTAACAACTCTGAGGCACAATTTGCGCGCATGATGTATTGCTGTCATACAAGACAATAAATTTGCATGCGTGGTTCTGACTGCAATCACTCACAGAGTTAACAGGCATGGAAATGTTGCAAAAGTCCCTGTTCTTAAAAAAAGAAAAAACATTTAACACAAAGGTGGCCATGCAGTTGAGTGTTGATCGTTGAAGGTGAACCATTTGTTTTACCTGTGGGACACTGGCAGCCCACCCCAGAGCCGAGTTGGGCCTTCTCTTCCTAGTAGCCAGAATTGATCTAGCCTATCTCAGATACAGTAGAGACATCACCTTGCCAACAAAGGTCCGTATAGTAAAAGGTCCATAAAGAAGGCTGATCGCCGAAGAATTGATGCTTTTGAATTATGGTGCTGGAGGAGACTCTTGAGAGTCCCATGGACTGCAAGAAGATCAAACCGATCCATTCTGAAGGAAATCAGCCCTGAGTGCTCACTGGAAGGACAGATCGTGAAGCTGAGGCTCCAATACTTTGGCCACCTCATGAGAAGAGAAGACTCCCTGGAAAAGACCCTGATGTTGGGAAAGATGGAGGGCACAAGGAGAAGGGGACGACAGAAGACGAGATGGTTGGATAGTGGTCTCGAAGCTACCAGCATGAGTTTGGCCAAACTGCGGGAGGCAGTGGAAGACAGAAGTGCCTGGCGTGCTCTGGTCCATGGGGTCACGAAGAGTCGGACACAACTAAACGACTAAACAACAACAACATCTCAGATACAGGATCAAAACCTTCTTACTAAGCTCTTCTGGTTAAGAGTAACTAAGGACAGGGGGCTGGGCACAAAAGTGCCAAGATAAGCTTCAGGGTGGATTTGATTTAAATCATATTGATTTAAACCACAATTTAAATCACTAGTCAGTAAGACTTAATTTAAATCATTTTTTTACAGAAAGGGTCATTCTTGCTAGTATAATCTTAATATTTACAACCAGGTGAAGGTTTCATTTTTGGAATAATACATTTTCAGAGTAGTTTTTAAAATTATATCAAAAATTACTGATTTGATTATACTGTTAGAAATACATAAACAGATAATTATGAAATTATTGTGAGGTTTAATAATGTTTATATTTGGGCAACTTTTCTGTGGTACTTTATTGGAAGGAGAAAAATAATCATTTCCTTAATAACAATTTAAACTATTTAACTAAAACAATAACATTATAGCATATGTATCCATGTTTGTTAACTGCTGTTAAAAAAGTAGACTGAGTTTTAGCACACATGAAAAACTTAAAACAAATCCTTATTTTCCTGATGAATAGCCTTTGGTCTATAAGGTAACTTAAATAGAAAACTATCTTTAGAAAGATTTTTCCTGCAAAAGCATTTTATTTTAAAAAT